CATTCTGGATGGTTGATTACTCTGGTTGCAACCTATTCTCCAACGAACTCAATCCCAATAAAAAACAATTAAGAAAAAATCGATAAGAAATTAACCGAAAAGGTAACCCGAGCTTACCCACTATGGCGATGACGAAAATGACAACCACGATACAACCCAAGGGTTAGGTTTCGGGCGCACGTGGATGGCGAACCCAACTACGCCGGCGGTAAGGTGAGGGGACGACTGTGGCAGCTGAAAAAACGTGATTAACCGAGGGAAGACTTGAGTTTTCGGTGAAGCTTTCAAACGCCTCTCCCCGACGAACAATAGCGGCTGATTGAGGGTGGCTAGGAGGGGCTGGTTTGCGGTGGTCGGATGCGCCTGATAGGGGTGTCGATAACTTACACCACCGATCAGAGCGACTGTCGAGGGATGGATAGACGGGGGGTTTGTTTATTTGGGGGAAATGGGTTTGGGGCTGTCAATCACTGGGGGTTGAAAAATCAATGGGTTAACACCCATTTATTAAAATAAAATTTTATTCAATAAAAACACCAATAGATGTCTAGCCTAGTGGCTAAGGCATGGGCACCCATGACCCTAGGGTCACGGGTTTAAACCATCCCAGCCACCTAATTCACATTTTTTTTTATTTTTGGTGTCAGGAAAGTATGAGAAAATTATAGGGCTAGTCCCTAAACTATCTACATATTTGAAATTGACACAGAAAACCTTAAAATTATTCATTTTGGTCCCTTAATTAAATAAAATAAATTAATGACATTTTATATAAAATTTGGGGTGTGACAATTTGTGTCACCTATTGCATAATTATTACAACCGGAAAATTGTTTCTCAAAGTTGTCATTCGATCATATCATCTCTAATACTGCCAAAATTCCATACTTGTATATTGGAATGTAATTTGACTCGAACATCGTTTTCATCTCCTTCTTCTGTCACTTTTCGCTTTCATAGTAAAATTTTAGGTTAGGGTTTTGATAATAAAATCTATTTTCTAAAATTGCTCCAAATAAATAAACTTTACACCTTTATTTTATTTAATGTAAATTTGATATGGCCTGTTTAATATTAAATTAATCTAAATCAAGTTAATAGTGAGAAAACGGACAAGTGAACAAAAACTAATCTATAAATTTTAGTTATTAAATTAAAAAATTTAAAGTTTAGTGAGTAAAATAAGAATAATAAGAAAGTTTAAGTATAAAATTTGTAGTTTACCCATTTCTGTTTGTTGTTTATGTGTTAAATTTCCTTTTGTGTCGCGTAGCTGGCATCTATTTTAATTAATAAAGTTCCGTTTCATTAATAAAAAATAATATATAAATATAAAATATTTGAATTAGTTTCATTAAAAATTAATGTAAAAATAAGTATTTAAATTATATTATAAATTAACTTTAGTTGTTTAAAGAATTTTTCGTTAGAAGTATGTACTTAATGTTTTCTTTGATGTTTATCCCATAACGTCTTTTAAAATAATCATAAAATGATTTTTTAAATTTCCTTCTTTTTGAAAAATAATTATTTTTTTTACAAAAATCTCTCTCTCCCGTCGTCCCATCGTCCCATCCCCTTGCAACAGTTCTTTGTAGGGTTGTAAATGAGACGAGACAGATCGCGAGCTACTCAAGATCGACTCGATAAATACTCTGATCGAATGGATTCGACTCGACTCGAGCTCAACTCGAGTTCTTAACGAGCCGAAACAAGCTACTTGATATTCGACTCGAAAAGCTCGTGAGCAACTCGAAAATATAATATATTAAGATTTTATTTTAAAAAAATAAATAAATTATTAATAATATTAATATTTATGTATTGATTTTTTTTTAAATATAGTAATATTTTTATGTATTTAAGATTCAAGTTCGAGTTTGAGTCTTTAATCGAGTTACGTTTAATATTTTTTTCATTTCGAGTCTTTTCGAGCTGATCACGAGCTTCAGTTCAGGATTCCAAGTTCGAGTTGAGCTTGAAAATTTTAAGCTCGCAAGTTTTCGAGTTAATTCAAGCTCTATTTCAGAGTTTTCGAGTCGAGTCGAGCTCAGCAATACTCGAACTTGACTCGGCTCGTTTACACCCCTAGTTCTTTGGCCACCATTCTTCCATCGTCTCCGAGCAACAACTCCTCGGCCACAGTCCTCCTCGAGCTCCACCTCAGCCCCACCTCATTTCTCCCATTCAATGGTGAATTAAAATTCAAGGGTTTATAATTTCTAATTGATTCATCATTTTCTGCTCTGTAAATTGTTGATTTTATTTTATTTTTTTGCTTGTGAATGTAAATTTTAGAATTACATGCTGGGGAAAATAAATTTAAAAAAGCAAAACAATTGGAAATAAGATTTACAGATTCGAACACCAAATAAACAAGAATATATACATACTTATATGTTGAAAATGAGCTGAAAAGAAAGAAGAAAATCAAAGACCAGACAATATGTAATGATCTTTGAACGATAGAGTAAAAAGGGTTCATTTCCATTAATCCCTTCTCCAACAAAAACATCAGATTGACAGTGAGAAAAAAGCTTTTCTTAGTTTTGGAAAGATTTTTTAAAAAAAAAAATTCAACAACCATTACGAGTATCTATCTAAAAGTACAACAGATAAAATATTAGACATACACTTTTAACAAAAAAATTATTTAAACACCTAAAATTAACTTAAAAATATAATTTAGACTTTCATTTTTAAATTAAAGCTTTTATTAAAGAGAAAATAATCTCAGTGACCAAAAATCCCAGATAATATACGATTTTGACCAAATTTTTTTGATTTGCGAAAATGATCAACAAAATCACAATGCGATCTCTAATTCGCATTGCGATCTCCACTATCGCAAATTCGCGTTGCATTTCGCGTTGCGATAGTTGAAAATCGCGTTGCGATAATCTGCAATTGTCGTTGCGATTTTCCAAATTCGTTGCGATTTTTCAAATTCGTTACGATTTTCCAAATTCGTTGCGATAGTCTACAGTTGTCGTTGCGATTTTCCAAATTCGTTGTGAAAATTCGTTGTGATAGTTAAAAAAAAAAAGATTTTGTTTCTTAAGAATTTTTTCTAAAAATATAGTATCCGCGCGGACGTGTCGAAGACACGTATTACCACGACCACGACCACGACCCGACCCGACCCGAGACGTGACAGACGGCGGCGGCAGCGCACGAGAGTCCCCTTTGTTCTCTATCACTCAACAAGAAAGTGGGAAAGTCAAGCCTTAAATACCATTCCCAATAGTGTTTCCAATACTATGTGGGATTTGAGCATTACCAACACTTGTTCCCAATACTATGTGAGATTGAGCCTTAAATAGTGATATTATTTTTGAATGTTTTGCTTAAAATTGCAATAATCGCGATTGATTGTAGATTGACTTTTAATTATGACATATTTAATCGTATAATACTAATGCAATTTGTTGTTGATTCAGTTGTTTTAAGGTGCATGATTGTTAATTGTTTCCTGAATAATCACATTGTATTGGAAACAAGTGTTGGTAATGCTCAATCCCACATAGTATTGGAAACACTATTGGGAATGGTATTTAAGGCTTGGCTTTCCCACTTCCTTGTTGAGTGATAGAGAACAAGGGGGACTCTCGCGCGCCGCCGCCGCCGTCTGTCTCGTCTCGGGTCGGGTCGGGTCGGGTCGTGGTCGTGGTCGTGGTCGTGGTCGTGGTCGTGGTCGTGGTCGTGGTCGTGGTAATGGTAATGGTAATGGTAATGGTAATACGTGTCTTCGACACGTCCACGCGGATACTATCTTTTTAGAGAAAATTCTTAAGAAACAAAATCTTTTTTTTTTACTATCACAACGAATTTTCGCAATGAATTTGGAAAATCGCAACGCGATTTTCAACTATCGCAACGCGAAATGGAAAATCGCAAAGCGATTTTCAACTATCGCAACGCGAAATGGAAAAGCGCAACGCGATTTTTAACTATCGCAACGCGAAATGGAAAAGCGCAACGCGATTTTCAACTATCGCAACGCGAAATGGAAAAGCGCAACGCGATTTTCAACTATAGCAACGCGAAATGGAAAATCGCAACGCGATTTTCAACTTTCGCAACGCGAAATGGAAAATCGCAACGCGATTTTCAACTATCGCAACGCGAAATGGAAAATCGCAACGCGATTTTCAACTATCGCAACGCGAAATGGAAAATCGCAACGCGATTTTCAACTATCGCAACGCGAAATGGAAAATCGCAACGCGATTTTCAACTATCGCAACGCGAAATGGAAAATCGCAACGCGATTTTCAACTATCGCAACGCGATTTTCAACTATCGCAACGCGAAATGGAAAATCGCAACGCGATTTTCAACTAACGCAATGCGAAATGCAACGCGAATTTACGATAGTGGAGATCGCAATGCGAATTAGAGATCACATTGCGATTTTGTTGGTCATTTTCGTAAATCCAAAAAAAGTTGGTCAAAATCGTATATTATCTAGGATTTTTGATCACTGAGGTTATTTTCTCTTTATTAAATAGGCAAAATGATATTTTTGCTTCTATAGTAGACCTAGTTCATCATTTTCGACCTTATCATATTTTCACACTAATTTAATCATTGAAGTTGTTCAATTATATCATTATGTACTCTACCCTAACTTAAAACTATATATTGAGTGTTTTAAATTAGAGTTTAGGGTTTAAAAATTAAGAAATTATGGTTTAAGATTTTAAGTTAGGAATTAAATATAGGACGATAAACTTAAACAACTACTAAATTGATGAGAAAATAAATTGAGAGGTAAGAAGGTAACCCATAAGCCTATTTAATAAAAAAGATTAAACACGTGAAGTAGGTGGGAAATAAAGAGGAGAAAAACAGATTATTTAATGGAAGGATGTAGATCATCCTTAGCTAGATCTGGGCCATTGATTACAAAACGAGTAAGTGCAGAAAAACAAGACTTTTCTTACTATTTCCTTTTCATTGACTGAGATTTCAGGGAAGAGAAGCCACCATTCCATTGACCGGGAAGAAAACCCCACCATTTATTTCTTCTCTATATTCCTCACCTTCTCAAAAATCTACTTGAATCTAATCTCTACAAGAATTTGGTGGTAGATTGATACCAGTAGAGTACTGGAGGTAAGGTATAACTAACCATAGATTTCATCATTTTTTTTTGACATAGAGAATCATTATATATATTTTTTATATGAGAATGATTTTGATTATGTTTGAATGTTGATATATTTTGAAGGAATTCAAGGGGAAAGGGAAGATACTAGCTTGAAGCAAGCATTTTGGATATTCTTTTGGAGTGAATTAGGTTTGTGCTCTTTAATTTGTTAGATTTTCTTGGTTCTTTTCATTATATTAAAACTCATGTTTGAAAATCAGTATTATTTCAAAGATGTTTTTGTATTTATAAATCAATTAAAAAACGAATACCTAGGAATGAAGCATGTGATCAATGAACTCGAATACAAATCTCTTACGACTCCTCCACCTGCACTAACTTATTGAGCTAATTTTATAAATATATTTTTGGACTAAATATTCCCTTTCACCCTCATCATGTGTGAGAAACTCTAATATATAAAAGTATATGTTGAATTCGTTTTGTGAAAGACTGCTTTGAAGAAGAATTTAGTTTTGAAATTAGAATATGGAACCCATATTTGAAAATCAATTGGGATTGAGTTTCATGAAAGCTGTATTTGGGAGTTATGTAAACATATGAAATGGAATTTATATTTATATGGAAAATACAGTAAATTTTGAGACATTCAAATGAATATATGAAATTTGGTATGGGAATTTATGCATTTGGCCCTTGATGAACTGGTGTATTGGATGGACATGGAGTTAGGAGATTATTGGTACGTAGATATTCAGTTGGATCCTCCGGAGAGAATATCTGTTCGGTAAATCCAACGGAGAGTATCTTCGATTATGTGATTCATGGGCGTTATACGGATATGATAAATGTATTTTGAAAATTGAATTGTTGATATCAAGCGCATGACATGATATTCTGGTATTTATTTAGTGTGTGGTTTTGCATTTGAAATTGTGAATGGTTGAATTTATTAGGTAATTAAGCTGTGAAATTTCAATTTTGACGTGTATAAGATATGGAATGTGATTTGAATGATGACATTGGAAGTTATAACTTCATATATGGCTTTAGTTGTGGTTAATTGATGTTGAGACTATGGGAGGTTGTGGAATTTGTGAACCACGGAAAATGTTTTAAACCGCAGGAGGTTAGGTAATATTCTAGGGGAAACTCTATTGAAATTTCTGAGAAATCTTGTGTCAATTTGGTGAAATGAATTAATAAAGTTCAATATTACGTGATTAATTATCAGAAATCATAGTAGATGCTCTCGAGCATTCGAATGTGGCACTTCTTGCCTAGAATCACCGACAGTCCGAGTAAGAAGTGTTACAAATGAGGGTTATGGATGGCTAGTACAGTTTTTAACTATTATATTATTTGATGTTGGTATCCTTCGATTTCCACTTTTATCTCAGATTGTTTGAACATCCACTCTGTTCTTGGGAATGGCGGAACAGCAGCAACTAGAGCCATGGACCGACCTCAACGGCAAAGTGGTGATGGTAACGGGGGCATCTTCCGGCTTAGGTCGTGACTTTTGTCTTGACTTGGCTAATGCTGGCTGTCGTATCGTTGCTGCCGCACGCCGTGTTGATCGCCTTAAATCCCTCTGTGATGATATCAATTGCCTCAGCTTTCCTGAACCCCAGTCTAGTGGTCCTCGAGCTGTTGCCGTAGAGCTTGATGTATGTGCTGATGGAGCCACCATACAGAGCTCTGTGAAAGCAGCTTGGGATGCCTTTGGGAGGATCGATGCTTTAATAAACAATGCTGGCATTAGAGGTACTACATCTACATTTAGCAATCATGAAAGGATTACTAGTAAATTAGTTGTTGAGTGCTCAATAGTTCGAGTCTCATGAAAATTGGTTTAGTTGGTCGATTAGTTCAATTGGTTTGAACACTGTCCTGTCAAGCCAAAGCTCTGGGTTTGATCTATCGGAACGTATCCCAATCCAAAAGAAATTCAGCTCCGGCTTCATTTTTTTAACAGATTTTTGTGAAGCATTGTCAATCTTTTATGCTCCTTTTGCTCGATTCGTAATCATTGTGTTGGAAATTTCTTCATCATTTGCATCTATTACACGTATTGGCAGGTCAGGTGAAGGATCCTTTGGAATTGTCCGAGGAGGAATGGAATCAGAATATTAGAACCAATTTAACAGGGTCTTGGTTGGTGTCAAAGTATGTTGCGAGGCACATGCGCGATGCAAATCAAGGAGGATCCATAATCAACATATCTTCCATTGCTGGTCTTAACCGTGGGCAACTACCCGGAGGCCTGGCTTACGCTTCCTCAAAAGCAGCCCTAAACACCATGACAAAGGTACATATTATACTAAAACATCCATACGACTTCATGATTGTTTTTCAGTCGTGCTGTGCTCAAACACTATTATGCAATGATTTTTGCATCAGAATGATGAAATTTACTATGATGGTTACGCAGACCATGGCCATGGAACTCGGGATGCATAAAATCCGAGTGAACTCGATATCACCTGGGCTTTTCAAATCGGAGATCACAAAAGACCTTATGAAGAAGGACTGGTTAACAACTGTGGCTGAAAAAACGGTGCCGTTAAGAACATTTGGAACAGCGGATCCGGCTTTAACCTCGCTAGTGAAATATTTGATCTATGATTCTTCGGAGTACGTAACAGGTAATATATTCATCGTTGATGCTGGGGCTACCTTACCAGGTGTTCCCATATTTTCTTCGCTTTGAGGATAGTAGGAGAATAGTAAAACAAGGATGGAAGGGATGTTTTCCGTCTTATAATAAGATTTGTTGCATAAAATTCTAGTATAAACTGGATATTTAGTATCTGAACTATACTTTTATTCCGTTTTGGTTCCCAAAATTTAGTTTTTTTTAAAATCATACTTAATTTTTAGTTTAAGCTTCATTTTGGTATCCCATCATTAAAAATTTAACGGTGATATTAATGTATCACTATAAGATAATGTTAGGTCATAATTGAAAAAAATAAAAAAAAATATCATGTCAATAGTTCTGTTAAGTTTTTAACTGCGGGTACTAAAATGAAACATAAACTAAACGTTAGGTATGATTTAAAAAAAATAAAATTTAGGTATCAAAATTGAATAAAATTAATAGTCTATGTATTAAGCATGTTGTTTACCCTATTCTATTCATGTTTTGGCTTTTTGTAGTCTTCTAAATCGTACACCAGATGATTATGTACCATTAAGATGGTGATAAAATAGTGTCTGATTCTTCCCTTTTTTTAAAAAAATAAGAAATATATTTTCTTAATCGTGATCATAATGTTGATACATATAATTTTTATTATAAAGCTGATGCACATTTATTTTCAAAATAGTTAGAAATTTTAATATTTGACCTAAACTTAGAGAATTTTTCTTCAAATTATTTTCAAAAAAGTTGAAAATTTTAATTTAATCATTTCAAAATTTTAATATTTTTCAATAAAACTTTTAAGTTTTTAAATATTTAATTTCATCCTACAATTTTCTTTTAAATTCTCAAAATTTTGATTAAACTTTCAAAGAAAATTAGAAACTTTTATTAAAAAAATTAATTAGACCCCTTCAAAACTTAGTACCAAGATCTGTAACTAATCCTTATCTTACTATTCTTATTATATCTTGGGTAAATTACACAGGTAATCACTCAACTATTGTCTCCTTTCATTTTGACTATTGATATTTCAATTTTATTAATCAGACCATCTAATTATTTAAATGCTTCAATCAAACCATTGACCATTAACTTTTAACAGAATAGGTGACATGATTAGTTAAAAACGTGGTACAATTACATATTTAATCTTTAATATTTACATATTTTATTAATTTAGTCTTAATTTTAATTTAATTCTTTAATTGAATCTTAACACGTCACCATCTCGTTGAAGAAATTCTTCTTATTTTTAATTTATTTAGTTATAAAATATTGTCTACATTACACTCGAATATTATATCGGACATCAATATTTTCGAGAAAAATAAAAAGTGAGCATTCTGTTTCATCACTATACACAGTGGTTCAGAACATTGTGTTAAAGAATCATCTTTGTTTGAAAAAAAACCAGCAGATGCTTGAAGCCAATCAATGGCTACCCAAATTCAGAGTTTGAACGTGATGGCTCGATGATGCGCAGTAAATGTGGTCCAGATACTCCATCGGAACATACACTGCTGTCCTAAGGGAGCTGTGCCTCCATCCATAAAATACATACACCGATATCCCGATTATCAACCACACCGAAACACGGATCCATGTGCCGACGCTGTTCGAAAGTATCAATCAAATGGGTTATCAGAATTGTAAAACAACTCATACAATGCATCTGCAAGTTGATTACTCACCCCAGACTAATTAGTAAATATACATTGATCAGAATACACGCTGCCGGTAAAAACGGAACAAATGGGCAGAGGAAACCTGTAAACGGGTGAATATCGAGTCATACACCTAAAGAACATGTTTACCAGTTTACTCACCATCGAACTGGTAGATAAGTACTTGAAAAATTTACGAAATCTTATCCGTATTTGTTGCATAAAAGTTGAGCATACCTCCTGTGTGCCCGAAGCTGTGCCTAGCTTCGTCCTGTTTTAGACATGCAAGAACTATCAAACTGCACAACAGAATCGCTGCACCAACAGCGCCCACGCTGAAACGAACAAGGCTGGTACAGAGATGGAGCAATTAAAAGCATAAGAGATAAAAAATCGTGCTTTTTCATTCCACATTCAGAAGAAATATATTCCGAAACGTTGACAAACCTAGGAAGATAATCAGCGGAAGCTGCCGATGTAAGAATGAGAACACCTATGCAGAAAAGAGCTATATTCCACACTGCAATTTTCCTCCGTTTGCGTTGACATTTTTTATCTGTAAAGGCATGTGAATCCGAAATGCTATTCATTAAAGAAACTTGAAAAAGAAAGGAACTTTCTAAACCTCCTCGGAATTAAAAATAAATGCGGTCGCAAGCTAAACGAATGCATTGTTCATAAACAACGGAGGCTGCTACGTCAATTCTGAAAGCAAAACAAACAAGAGCAGGTACATTCCTGATCATGTCGATTACCTGCAGTGAATTGTTTTTCAATAAGTGGAAATTGAATTGAAGCCTCCCCAGGCTCCGACAGATGCGGACTTTGCTCAACAATATCGTCATCATTATATTCCTTTCGTTCTATTGCCTTACTATCATCATCAAGCTGCTTTCTCACCGAATCAATAAACTGTTGAAGCGATGATGGAAGTGGCACCTCATCTGGAGGAGCATATCTGAGTATTAAGATCGAAATTGCAACAACAGTGAATGCAAGCAGAGTACCAACACTAACCTGCAGGGAAAAATATATTTTATGCTAAAGAGACATATATCCTATCCCATGAAACTTTTGTAATTCACAGTTAATCGGTATGAATTAACTTACCATCCCCGATAATTCCGAAACATCCATAAATAAAGCCAACACTGCAGCTAGCATACCAGCTGTCACTGTGCTCTTTACAGGAACTTGAGTACTCGTATTGATGTCGGAAAAGAACGAGGGTACTAATCCATCCCTGGCCATCGCCATCAAGAGCCGTGGCTGAAGGAGTATGCATATAAAGTCACTTTTCACTTTTCGGAGTTACAAACAATAGTAAAACCGAAATTTAACAAACATATACAGCACTACATTCTCATGCAAGTTTAAAACCGATTAAGCGCCACATACCTGAGGAAGAAGTGAACCCATCAAACTTGCACAGAGAGCGGTAACTGCCCCAGCCGTGACTATGTACCTACAAAGTATGAAAATCGAACATAGAGTTCAAAAGTAAGTTTGGAGAACAGGCCTTAGAATTTAACCAACGAACCGACACCGGGAACTACAAAAAGAATATAATGCTTACGCTGCCCACTGCATTCCGTTGGCAGAAAAAGCTGAGGAGATAGGAGTGTCTGGATTCAATGAAAAGTATGGAACTAAGCCGACAATAACAACTGATACGAGCATGTACAAAATACAACATAGTGTCAATGTCATCCCTATGCCCACGGGTAAATCTCGTAAAGGTCTTTTCGCCTGCCATGAAGCAGGTAAATGTATATATATCAATGATCACAATTAGATAAAATTTATATTATTTGCCTTGACAGATTATGCGAATTCACTCATGCTAAAAGATAGATAATGAAGAACTTGAACTACCTCTTCAGCTGCACCGGTAACTGCATCGAAACCTATGTATGAAAAAAACACAATAGCAGATCCTGCAAGCATCCCATTTACACTGAAGGGGAAAAACCTGCAAAATCGAAAGGGAAATGTAAACAGGAGAGCAAACCATACAAAAAAGCTTGAGAAAAGTAGATGAAAAACGTTATAGTTACCCGTCACGAAGTTCATAACCGGCCCACCCAGTCTTGCAAGCCAAATAGCCACCAGCTATTATAATGAAAAGCATGGCGCACACGTTCAGCGTTGTAACAATGGTTTGTACCAGTGAACTCTGTAATATCAAGTGTTAAACGAAAGCAATTAGCAAAACCAGATAGTAAAACAGATAGAAAACCAATAGCCTACCTCTTTGATTCCAGCACACAGAAGAGCGGTAACCATAAGAACTAAAACTGCTGCACATGGATCCACCACGACGCCAAGCTGAGGGATAGCGTGACGAACCAAAAAGGCAGGTAGCTTATCTTCACCCCCAAAAAATAAGGCCTAAAGCACAGAGCAATATCTTACAACAGTCGGTAGAAATGGTGTTTTTCCCTCACACACAATAAATTTACAGTGTTACTCAGAAATTTTAGAAATAAATCCTCACTAGATTAGGGGATATGCCACGAGCAATAGCTGAACCGCCAATTGTGTATTCCAGAATCAAAGACCAACCGATCAACCAAGCAACACTGCAAGTAATCGTGTTCTTACATTACAAACTAACATCAGATTCAATTATACATATAAAATGTTGCCATAACCGATGATGTCCCGGATCTAATTCTTCATTCAGTAACATATAAAATGGTAAAAGGATTTTAGTTTACCTTTCCCCTATGCATATATATGCATAATGATATGCACTCCCGGCAGATGGGCAACGACTAGCGAGCTCTGCATAACAGAAAGCCGATAACGCAGCAGCTAGACCGGCAATGAGAAATGAAACAGTAAGAGCAGGTCCCGTGTGCTCTCTAGCAACCGTTCCGACAAGAACATATACGCCGGCGCCAATGGTTGTCCCAACTCCTGATTGAATTAATCAAGATGTATTAATCAATTTGCTAGTTCCGACAAGAACATTTAGCAAATGTCAAGATGTATGAACATCTCGAACGGCGGCCATCGCTTGCTCTAGGTCCATACATGAATAAAATCCTCAAAGAAAAACCAAATACCAGCCAGGGACGGAACGGATACAGGATTTTATGTTAGTGGCGAACTTATAATATTTCAGATTCTATTTATAAAATTAGCACCGAATACATAAGTAAAAGGTTAAAAAGAGAAAACAAAGCTATATTCATGCTGGTTCCATCTCCATCACTAAGACCAAACAAACTAATGACCAAATTTTCACAGAAACAAAACCAATCAGAAAAGAGACCACACAAATAAAACTTAGATGCCTATAGAAACAGAAACAAAAAAAAATGAAATAACCCCAAATTGCAGAAGAAGGAATTGAAGCAAATAGTGATAAGAATTACCAATGGCAGTGAGGTCAAGAGCAGTAAGTTTCCTGGCTAATTGGTGACCTTCTCTCCTGACATGGACTGAATCAACTTGTTTTCTTCTAACTAAGCTTTTGAAAGCCTTTGAACAGTTTGAAAAGAGTACTTCACCCTTGTTTTGCATACTGAGAATCAATCTTTTGTTTGTTTATTTACTGTTTCGTTGATCAGTGTTGTTATTGGCAAAGAAATGAAGAAGAAAAGAAGTGGAAAGAATGGGGAATTATTTGCAGATAAAGACAGGTTCAGAGACAAAGAGATAACAGTTATTATCTTAATAGGGAAGTACACGTCGTGGTTACGTCTATATTTGTCTTTCTACCTACTTAGGTACCCGTTAATTAGGGATGATAACGGGTCGGGTTTGGGTCGGATATTGGTCATCGTCTTCGTCCCCGTTTAAAAAACTCGTACATGTCTCTGCTTAAAAACTGCGGGGATTTAAACGGGGTTCTCCATCGGATAATCGAGAAAAATTGTGGGGAAACGGGTATCCCCGTTTAGCATAAACAGTTATTTAAACAGGTATCGGGTTGGATATCGGGCCGGTTATATATATTTAAATTAAATATATAAATATTATATATATTTAAATTAAATATATAAATATTATATATTTTTTTAATTTAAATTAAATTTATTAATATTATATATATATATATAATAATTATTTTTAATATTTATCGGGTCAGGTATTAGGGTAATCGGGGCGGGGATTAGCAAATCCGTCTTCGTTTAGCATAAACGATTTTTTCCTGTCCCTGTCCCCGTTTATCATCCCCGAACCTGACCCGTTTAATTCGATTTTCAATTTTTCCCGTCGAATTCGATTTTTTTTGCCCATCCTACCGCTAATCCCCATTCATTACATTACTTTCATATTTATTGTTAAGGCTAGGGAGTGAATAGGATTCGAATTGGACGAATTTTGATTTAAATTTTATTTTATCAGATTAATTTTTAAAAATATAGATCTAGATTAGGTCAGATTTTTTAGAGGTTATGTTTGAGTCGGATCGGATACAAGTTTAGAGTAAAAAATCTGACTTAATTCAACCTGAAAAAAATATAATTTTATCTTATATATTTAGAGATAATTACAATAACATATATCTATATATATTTTTTTAAAATTAATTTAAAGTAATATTTTTTTATAAATATATTATTTCGGGTCGGGTCGGGTCATATCAAGTTCGAGTTTTATCTTAAAAAGGTGGGTTAGAGTCGAGCTAGGTGAAAGGTTTATATTTTTTGGGACGGGTGGAGGGTCTATAATTTTCTCCGACCTATGCCATCCCTAATTAAGATCCACTAACACTTTTAATCTATATTTAGTTATCTAATATGATCTATCTAAAATTAAAAAAAAAAATTATATTGTGTAATAGGATATGATTCCTATATATATAGTGTAATTTTTTTAATTGAGATTAACCATGTAACTTTTTTTTTTATTTTACATAGATTTTAAAACCGTTGGATGAGTAGAAATAGAAGGTTGAGATTCATTTCTTGTTTTTTCACTTAATTTCATCTTAATTTTTATTATTAAACTTAGTCATCGATTTTCATTCATCAAATAGTCTTAAATTAATGTAAAATTAAAAATATATATTTTATAATTGGATCTTTAGTATATATATATATATATATATATAAAGATATTATTTCTTTTTTTGAAAATTATTAAAATTAAAAGAATCAAAGTCGACATTTTATTATATTATTTAAAATAAATTTATTTTATTAAGCGCTTAATTATATCCTTTAAAAATTATAAACTTGACATTTAATTGTATTTATCAAATAATTTAATTATCTCTAGTATATAATTTTAAATAGAATATTTAAATTTCAAAATATATTTGATATTCTATTTAAAATTATATATTTGATATAATTAGATTATTTTATTAATTTAATCTTAAAAATAAAATATAATTAAAAAATAAAAAAAGTGTTAAAAATGTTTTTAATAGTAATAAGTAAAAATTATCTAATATATTTTACAATTTTCATTAAAAAAAACCTTATCAAGTAATTTTTAGTTTCAAATCATGTTTGATAACACATTAAAAATAATTAATTTCAATAATTTAATAATATTTTAAGGATGACTTTTGCAAGGGATCTAAATTGATATAATTTTTTTATTAATATGGTGTAAGTACAAGGCATTATATGCTCAAACATAATTCTTAATCGTTCGGCATTGAATGCTTACACCCCTTGACATTTATGATATTTGAACCTGAATCCTCAAGTAACAATAATAATTTCTTTACTGTAGAGGTCACTGGTTTCGTGACTAAATTGATATAGATGAATGTATAATAGAGTAATATTTTTATATATTTTTTTAAATTGATAATGTGAAATCAATGGAGCATATAACACATGATATATTCATATCGAATGTCAGATAATTGAAATATTATTTGTTTAATAATAAGACAAAACAAGAGGTGGCTTTTCTGAACATGACCACAGAATACGTCTAGGTTCATGAACATGTTAATAATTGAATTCATCCACAATATATAAAACACCCACGAGAAACAACATTTACATTTTGTTTTTTTTAATGAGTAAAATATATTGCTTAAACTAAATGTCGGGTACATTAGAAGAAAAAAAAAAGCAATAATCTTGGGACAATCCGAACCAAAAACACAATAGAGAGATTGAACATTTGCAACAACGATCTAGGATGGTTGTGCCCTTTCTTCGTATACAATTATATTTCGTCCATTCCACAAGTTCCATAGAAGCACCCCAAAACTTGCAAAAGAATCAAGGTTAGTAGTATTTAAAGTGTTCATATATCAACCAATCTAATGGTGATACGAGCTGACTTGAAACCATCGATGAGGGTAATTCGAATAAGTTTAGAGTCTCATTCGTTTTCACACAATCTCGCAGCGCATGCACTACGGTTTCTTCCTCCTCTCGGCATGAAGGGCAGATCACATCCGTCAATCTTGCAGCTCGAAGTCTACTGCCAATTGGAAGGGCACCATGGGACGTTGGCCAAGAAAAAATACGAATTATTGGTAAGACATTGAGCTTGGCAATCACTGTGCACGCCTTCATCGGTTGTTCTTAACCATGGCTAGGCTTATGGTCAATGTCGGGTCGAGTCGACATATTATTGGTAAGATATTGAAGGTAAAAAAAAAAATTTGGGTCGAGTCGGATCGGATATTTTTCACTCTAAACCTGAACCCGACCCAAACATCACATAAAAAACCCGACCTGATCGGGCCGAGTTGGGTCGGAACTGGACGGGTTTGGGTGCCATGCCCATCCCTACACATTTGAGTAGAGCTTCCAATGCCTACCCTTCAGAACAGCCCGGGAGAAAATTCCTTTAACGCTCGATGCATGCAAGACCATGAATAAGAGCTTTTGGTGTGCAAAACATCACCCGAGGGATAGTATTTGGCACGTAAGACTCGGGCAATAAGCCTCTCGGGCTCCTTGATCGGACCACGTACTTGTTTTCCAATGAGAGCCAAATTAAAGCATTGAAGATCACGAAACTCCAATCCTCCCACACATTTCGGACAACACATCATGTTTAGCAGAAACTTTCCCTGACTACCAAAATTTACGCATTACTCAGATCATATAATTGATCAAACAGTCCGGCAACAAACAACAACACATAACATATCGTGGTAGTACTTGGACAACAGATTTAATAAACACCTCTCACCTGTCAAAAGATGGAAGATTCTTAGTCCGACCCATAACCCTAGCAACGACCTTATCCCGAAGCTAACCAAATGCAATTATTTTACTTTTTCCTATGTGTAAAGCCATACCAAGATAATGATCCAAATCAGGAATTTCTCTAATACCAAGGGTTGCAACCATCCATTGGCAATATTGATCAATAGTAAATGGGCTAAAGAACACCATAGATTTGTCGAGAATGACCTTAAATGTTTGCAAGAAGATTGGGAGGTACAAGAAGCAGCATCGACTCATTTATAAAGTATACTACGTTTGTTCCTTATTTATATATATATATATATATATATATATATATATATATATATATATATAGAACTTTTCTTTTTTGATATACATAAAAAAAACAAAGTGATTATTTAATTTTCTTATACAACCTAAGACCAAATTATACTGTGACAGCATACACCATCAAACAATAAAAGAAAAACACATTCAGAAGAGGCAAAAGTAAAATGTTTTCCTCAATTAATCATTATTTATTAATAATAATGTTCATTTTCATTTCCACCATGTCCTTTTCTTATGTTTTACCCCAATCTAATGTCCTCAAATGTTAGTTGTAAAAACAATGTACCATGTTTCCAGCAGCAGCAAGCATTATTCTTCTTGCCTTGGACTCCCTTCGCCGCCACCTTCTTCAAGCTGAACCCACACACCTTCATTTTGTTCCCCTCCATTTTCCCACGTTTGTTGCCTTACACTCCTGTTAATCGTATCACCACCATCAGAAAACTGTGCCCACACGCTTCGGCTCTTTCCCTCACCGCTGAATTCTTCCTCGCATCCTGCAACTGTCTTGAGTATCTCCGACTGCAGTGACGGGCAGTTTTCTTTATGATACTCGAAACCATCTGAGCGCATAACAGCTGCATTGAATAGAACAGTCAATTACAATACGAGTTAGGGTGCTGAGAGAAAAATAATTTACTATACTAATAACGAAAAGCTTAGGTTCTGATGAAAAAAATTCTTCACAAACACAAGAGAATGGCCACACGAGAGATCTTAGCTACCATCTTGTTATCATCTAGAATCCTCGATACTTGACCTTACCCATTGGCAGGGACAGGCCGGCTTAGGCTTGAAAACCATAACCGAAGCCTGACCTCAAACAGGCAAGGCCAGCAGGCTGGCTGCAGCAATGCCAGAACCAAAAACGGAAAATATGACCCATCTCGAAAACCAAGTTCTTCCTAAATCTGAACGCCTAGCATCATCTCGAGACATTTTTGGATCTGGAATACACATAGACATGCCATGAAAGGGAAATATTCAACTTTTTCCATGTTTATCATACATGTGAATGCTGAGGCTGAGCATTATCTAAAGACATTTTATCTTAAAAACAAGTAGTTTCTCATAAACAGACAACCAGACATTACCCAGAACATGGCAACATCAAGTTTCTATGCAATGTAAAATTTTGGAAAAGCAATAGACGAACGGAAGAATTTACCAACAAGATTTTCAGCAGCGAATTTTAAGCAAACAGCTTTTAGATCCATAGCATGATGATGATCGGAAAGGGCTAAAATGTTTGCAACTGAGTTCACAGATACGTCCTTGCAGAGTACAGACTCACACATCAGTCTAAGTCTAGGCAAGTCATATTTTTCTGCTGCTGCAAACAATTTTTCTGTTAATGCATCAGGTATGGATGGCATACAAGATGAACTAGTCCCAGCAAACTCCTCATCATCAATAAGGCTGTCTCTGTAGATGAAGTGCAGCAAAGCCTGCCAAAATGCACACAGCAGAGAATGTCAGGTAACTAAGAAAACCATACTGACAGAAAATTCTAGTGCCATATAAAAAGTGATAACATGAATTTAGCAGAATTACAACCAAATCCAAGGTGTATCTGTTTGATAGATCTGCTCATTTTTCTAAGTATTTCCATTTATTTAGAGGGTCCCGGTTTCATATATATATCTGAATGTGTCCGACACAACTCCTTCAGTGAAAATGAAGTGTTGGAGTAACATAGAACATAACATAGAACATCAGAGGTGAATTAGGTGAAAAGATTCCCCACGTGGTTGAAATCCAATGATCATAATAATAATTTAGTGAATACAATCTATTGAGATTTATCTTGTCAAGAAATAATAAATGTTAAGTTTAAGGAACCAAATATTTAATCCAAGAGATATGTTAGTAGTGTGAGAGGATTTAAAAAAGGAAGCAGAAATTGTTCCTCCTCTCCAATCTTTGACTTCCTCATAACCACACAGACACAAAGAGATAGATATCGTAACGGAGCTCCAAAGAATAAGGAATTGAGATACTATCTCCTTCCACGTTCACATATAGGGAAAGAGAGGGTACACATGTAGAAAGAATTTATGGAAGCGTTAACACCGGAAAGTGGATCTCATAAATGAAAGGAACTTCCATTAGAAGTTTTTTCTCATTATCTCTATAAGCGACAAATAACCCCTGTAAATGCATACGTCCCATGCAATCTGGTGTAGCTATGAGTTGGTTAAGTATTTATCTGCACCAATAATAATTCTTCTACTATCTATTCCTTTTGGTTGAACATTTCTTATTTATTATCATGTGTCTTATGCTAGTTCTATTTCCTTAAACTCACTGTCTTGTGTGTTTTTGAGCCCCCTTCATAAAATGAAATTACGTCTACTTTAGTTTTAAGTAAAATTAATTTCTTACCGAGAAGCTTTAACAGAACTTGCACGTCATGACTATGATAGACTGACCATTTCTTTGTTATTCTAGGACCTAGACAGATGCTTATCTTAAGAATGTTTACTAACAAATTATGATAGAACTCACTATAAAAATCGTACCAGAAACTTACTCCATTAGCATGAAATTATGATAGAACTCACTATGATAACCGCATTGATAGTTTACAATTACATATTATTCAAAAAAGTTAAAGTGTCAATGCAGGTATGGCAGAAATAGAGATACCATGAACTTACAATCCTGAATCTAAAAGAGTTCGATTTTCTCTTTGCCGATATTATTTGCCTCAGTAATGTAGCAAACGCTTCACCTTTATTTTGACCTAAAAACTCGGTAAAATGATATATCATACTTGGGTATGCAATTACAAGTTCGACAGTTTCCATTGGTGCCAATCAACATACCTAGCTATAATCTATTCTGATTAATCCTTTCTATTAATCATTCCTAATCTAACTATCCCAATTTTCAATTCCTTAATGGATTTCTTTTTTCCAGTATTTATTTTTCTCGGCCCTTTAAAAAATTGTACAAAATATCCATCACAAAACTTAATTAAAAAACGTAACAATTACAAACCAACAAACTAGAAATAATCAAAATTATCTTTGATTTTGTACGGTATAGAAGGGAGCATTGCGACAGCTTGAACCCATAATTTAAACTCATACCCATCCTTAGCACTTGAGCAGCAAAATTATCCTCAATTCCTAATGCATTAATCATACATCCTTCACCAAAACATCATCAACCATTCACGTCTAATTCTTCAAAAGCATCAATATTTGGCCATTCCCCCAGTTTTCTAACACTTATTTCCTTAACCTACTTCCAAAATTGTTCAAATCCAACAACCAGAATGACCCCCCCCCCTCAAAATTTAACTACGAATTTAAATAAGAAAGCAATCGTTACATTATTTTCTTCAATAAACTTTCTCCAACCCTTTTCTCTAACATTTTAAAAAATTCTACCAAAAAATTACCAGAAACAACGGTCATGAAAATTAAAGAAGTCCCAAAAGATAAACAAATTCAAAAACCAAGAAGCAATTTCCTTACCACATACTTCTCCTATACTTAAGCGTATACGGGCCGCTCTCGAGAGCTCGATCGAAATGGCTATGAACTTTATGTTTCCCTTTCCCACTTTGGTACAAAAGAGTTAACTCGAAAAGGGCTCTAACATCCGTGCCTTCGCTTGCTAAAGCCACGAAAACCGAGACGTAGGTAGAATGATCTTCAGAGTTTTTGCCATCTGGGTAAAAGTAAATTGCCCATTGATAACTTCCAACGGTGAAGGTCTCGCTGGCTATGTGTATGCCAACGCCCATGCCTTTGGCTAAGGAATAGCCCTTGATTGTGAAGCGGTGGGAGCCATTGACGGTCTGGGTTACAGACCGGGAGCTCGTGGGCGACCCCAAGGGAGAGGGCATGGGTCGGTGGAGTTTTGAGGGAATTATTTTGATTTCTTTGGAACAAATTCCTTTTACGTTTTAAATTTATTTCCATTATTTATTACTTTTTTTTTCAGTTTGATTATTTAAATAATTTTTAAAAAATAAATTGATGTAAATAATATTTTAGTTTTTATTAATTTTGATATGTAAAATTTTTTATTATAAATATTTACGTGCATGTTTATTATAATTAAAATATTGTGTATTAAATATAGTTTTGATGTATTTTATTATTAAGATTTTAATATTCATTATTATTAGAGTTTTATATAATATCTATGTTTTATTTTTATACATATAAAATTTAACGAAGTATTGTACAGAATTTATTTGAGATAATAGTGCATAATTCATATTGGGATATATGATCCCTTGAGTTTTTATTAATTTTATAGAATTTATGAAAATAAAATTTTTAAAAATACTCTATAAAAATATTAAATTATAAAGTTAAAAATAATAAATTTGAGACAATAAATAAATAAATAAATTATGAACTCAAATTTATCATTATTATTATTATTATTATTATTATTATTATTATTATTATTATTATTATTTGGTGTGACAAAGGGAGCCATTACACTAACAGTGGGTTAAACTATTATTTAGGGGTGTATTCAGTTCGGTTTGGTTTGGTTTTTTATCAAAAATTAAATCGAACCGAAATAAACGGATTTTCAATACTTAAACCGAAACCGAAACCGAATAGTTAAAAAATCGAAAAAACCGAAATCTGTTTTTTCGGTTCGGTTCGGTTTTTTTAACTGTTCGGGTTTTTCGGTTCGGTTTATCGGTTTTTCAATAAAAAAATCACTTGAAACTATAATTTTTTTTACAAAAATTGCCTATTCGGTTCAATATGGAACAAATGGATTCCATATGGAAAAGCCGAACTGAACCGAATCAAAAAAAATGAAACCTTTAAACCGAACCGAAAATCAAACCGTTTAAAGTTAAACCGAACTGAACCGTTTTACTAGGTTCATATCGATTTTCGATTTTCTCGATTTCGTTGCTCAGCCCTACTATTATCCATAGTGGATTTATCAGAATGCAGAAGAATTTGGATCTCTCTTAGGGGACTGAAAGATAGAGAGCCCCACGCAACCATTCTTTCCAATATGAGCTAGACCATCAGCGACCATGTTGGCTTCACCCTTAATGTGGGAAATCTTAACAATCCAATGGTGAGAGCAAATGCGACGGGCACGCCGGACAATGGTCGTGTCATATATAGGGGTGTATTCGGTTCGGTTCGGTTTGGTTTTTTACTAAAAATTGAACCGAATCGAAATAAACGGGTTTTCAATATTTAAACCGAAACCGAAACCGAATAGTTAAAAAACCAAAAAAACTGAAACCGGTTTTTTCGGTTCAGTTCGGTTTTTTTAACGGTTCGGGTTTTTCGGTTCGGTTCGGTTCGGTTTATCGGTTTTTCAATAAAAAAATCACTTGAAACTATAATTTTTTTTACAAAAATTGCCTATTCGGTTCAATATGGAACAAATGGATTCTATATGGAAAACTCGAACCGAACCGAATCAAAAAAATGAAGCCTTTAAACCGAATCGAAAATTAAACCGTTTAAAGCCAAACTGAACCGAACCGAACCGTTTTACTCGGTTCGTGTCGATTTTTCGATTTTCTCGATTTTGTTGCTCAGCCCTAGTCATACACCAGCAGGGCAGGTTTTAGAGTTTTAACCAACTCGCTATTATCGATTTCAAGTTCGATATTCCTAAAACCATGATTCCAAGCAATAGTAAGACCATCGAACACCACTCAAAGCTCGGCATTATGCGGACTACAACGACCAATATTATTGTGGTAGTTGATCAACCAGTCACCATTAATGTTACGCAGTAAACCTCCTCCAGCAGCCTCCATTGAAGTTTGTTGAACTGCTCCATCAGTATTAAGCTTCTCCGAACCTGTGGTGGGAGACTGCCATTTTTGCTTTTTTGGACGAGCAGTGTTGCGGTGCGAGTGATTCCAAGGACAGTCTCGGATAGCTTGAGCCCAAGACCAAGCAGAATGTATTATCTCCACCGCCGATCGAATCTGCCTATTGAAAACGAGGTCGTTACGTTGCTTCCAGAGCTGCCACATCGTGATCCCAAACAGGTGCCTCCATTGAATTAAATTAGTATGGAGCCACTCAAATAAAGATAAGGAATAAAAACTTATTGTGGGTTGGTCGGGAAGCAATTGAGTCCAAAACATGCATGCCGAAGCAGGACCGGTCCTGACATTTTAAGGGCCCTAGGTAAAATAAGAGATAAGGACCTTTAAAAAAATAACTTAAAATTCAAGAATAAATTTCGGTAAACGTCAAAAAAAATTTCATTAAAATTTTTACGAGTAGATTCTATTACATTAACCAACATTATTTTACCAAATATATAAAGAGACATCTCAATTTTTCACTCAATTTACTCTTATTATGTATTCAATCATCTCTTAGAATCATTGCTCTCAATCGAAAATAGACGTCTCTCACCTACAAAACAACATACACAAATTCTCATAAGAAACGGTTTCTTCTAGCATTTTGAGATGCAAAGTCGTTGATAATAACATCAACATCAATGTTTCTTGTCATCTCCTTGTCAATAGCTAATGTTGCTAAACCATTCAACCTTTCTTGTGACATTGATGACCTCAAATACATTTTTATTAATTTAAGCTTTGAGAAACTTCTTTTTGCTGAATCTATGGTCACATGCACAATTAATAAAATCCTATAAGCAATTGAAGCATTCGGATAACAATCTGCAGATTTGACAAACTTAAGAATTTCAGTGGCAGATAACAATTATGTCGGCAAAGTCATTTGTAAGACTTTCAGTTCAGAGAAAAGATAATCTAAGTCAACATCCGATGAATTACCATGAGAAAAGGTAGAATGAAAATGAGCACAACATTCTTTCAACTCATTATCGTCTAATGACTTTAACTTATTTGAATCATATAAAAATCCAAAAATACTTTTAAATGTCTTCAATTGCTCAAATCTATTCATCAAAGAAGTAATTGACATATCTACCACAACCAAAAAATAATTGACTCTTCAGGCGATTCAACTTCGTTATCCTCATTATTCTCTCCAAAAAATTTCTTCCTAATCACACGACGTTTTGTGGGAAATATAGGCTCCACATCCATTTCAAGTGCAAGACTTTTAGCTACATTCATACTAGTTGTAAAGCCTTCATCTCTATATTTTTCAAAGTACGACATCACACCTTCTAATTGTCTTATGGTAGTATCAATGCACATAGACTTAGATTGTAATTTGTTGCTTACCATATTAACAGCAAATAAAATGGCATACCAAATCACAATACCAAGCAAAAACTCAAAACTTGAGAGTGCATTCACCAAACTTTCAGCTTCACTTTTTGACTTTGCATCATTTTCACAAGATTCATATAATTCACACAAAGCCAATCTTATTTGGAGACATTGAAATCTAATAGCTTTGACACTTTTAATTTGACTCTCCCATCGAGTATTTGATAAATATTTCACAGTTAATCCAGGAACATTATCAAGTAAAATTTTCCATCTCTTTGTAGAACCCGAAAACAATGCATATATGCGTTGAACGACTCCGAAAAAAGAAATAGCTTTAACACAAGAATGTGCCATATCACCAAGATTGAGATTTAGACCATGACAATGACAAGCACAAGGCATGTAAAATGTTTTTGGATTAATTTCAAGAAATCTTTTTTGAACACCTTGTGTTGTCCTTTCATATTATAATCGTTATCATAACTGTATCCCATCACATCATCATCATTAAGATCAAGATACTTCAAAACATTTTGTAGTTCATTAAAGAGTCCTAATCCAAATGTATCATCCACTTTCAGAAACTCCAAAAAGAACTCCTCAATTTTAACTTTGTTATTTAATATATTAACACATCGAACTATGAGGGTCATTTGTTCTTGATGGCTCACATCAGGCGTACAATCAAGAATTATGGAAAAGTATTTAGCGTCTTTAATGATCTTAATGATAGAATTTCTCACACTTTGAGATAAAAGGGAAATGAACTCATTTTGAATTTTATGTCCAAGATAATGATAATGAATTTTACGATCCTGAATGCATCTAACATGATCTTGCATAATCACATCAAACTCTGCAATCATTTCAATCAATCCCAGAAAATTACCATTGTTATCTTGATATAGTTTTTCATTGGATCTTCGAAATGCAAGATTATGATTAGCAAGACATTTCACAACTAAGAATATTCTTCGTAAAACTTGTCTCCAACGCTCTTTCTCTTTCATAATCTCTTCTTGCAAATTTTTATCGATTATTTGATTTTTATCCAATCTTACCCTCAATTCGTTCCAAGTATTCATATTAGTCATATGTTCAACACTATTTTCGTGTTGTTTAAGCCTTTGACTAATATGTTTCCAATCACTTAAGCCATCATTTGATAACAAACTTACATTACTAATCGATTTGAACAACTTGCAACAAAAACAATATACTTTGTCAACATTTTTGGAATAAACTAACCATTTTCTATCACTAGTCTCACCATTGCTCAACTTTCTATAATAACATTCATATGAGAAATGTCTATAATAATTATCAACAAAAAATTTAAGATCTATTTCTCTTATGGGCCCTTTTTCAACTAATATATCCCTCGCATTATTGTCAAGATTCTCCCAATTTATAGGATTATATATATTCAAATGAGCAAGTGTTTCTTCACCAATGCCTAAATTTTTATCAATTGTCACATCATTAAAGTCAATTGGATCATTCAGTTCATCATTCACATTTTTAGAATTTCCAGGATTTTCAGTATGCAAATTTTCAATTGATTGATTCAAAGTTTCATGAGAATCAGCCTTTTTAAACACAAATTTGTCAAGAGCACCTTTTTGTGACTTCTTTAACTCCTCCTCTCGCTTCCTTTTTTTTCTTTTTTCACTTCCAGACAAATATTTTTAAGCAACATCTCATC